CTTGAAAGGGCAAACAATCTCATGCAGACTTGTGTCATGACCTCACGACGAGTCATTGTATCCAAACCACACCCCCATGTCAAAACCCGTATTCGTGATACGATGAGAACATGTCAAAACCAATATTCGTGATACGACAAATGTTAGCGAATCTGTTATTGTATATATCATAATTTATGGTAAGTGTGGAATTATACTTTGAGAATTTCCATACTGTGGACAAAATTGATCATTATTATTATAAAATGTCCTATACTCTAACCAAATTCGAAATTGTCAATCTGATTTTATATGAAAAGTGGATTTTGAAGTATATTTGGGTCACATTCAAAACATAAACAGCTCACTATTTGTTGTATAATGGAGCTCAAATTTATAATGTTTTCGTGTCATCTCTTGTCAACCAGGAAAGTCATCAGCCTAATTGTGTTTAAAGTTATCAAATTGAATACTGTTATCAATGTGAATTGCTTGAAATGGTTATCAATCTCAAATACAATAGCAGACTGGTGTCAAGTGCTCAGGACGAGTAAACATCTCCCTCCCGCCGTGTTAGAACGACACCTGCCACAGTATCATAGTAGGTAGGTATATGAAAGTTGCTGAGACATTCGACATAATTAATAGTTACAGCATACCCAGTGGTAATTTATTTCCATGTAAATACTAAGTTCAAGCTACAATTCTAAAAGGGGGAAATAGACGAGGTACGACGACGCCTGGTGCAGTATACAACATACACGTATTCGTATATATTCGTATATATTCGTACATATTCGTATGTAGTCGTATATATTCGTATATATTCGTACATATTCGTATATATTCGTACATATTCGTATATATTCGTATGTAGTCGTATATATTCGTACATATTCATATGTAGTCGTATATATTCGTACATATTCGTATATAGTCGTATGTAGTCGTATATATTTGTACATATTCGTATATGGAATTCGTATGATCTACTGTATCGATAACCAAACAACTTACACTGAATCGGACACCATATCATTTAAAGGAATTGTAAAGACAATAAAATCCATACAAGCAAGGCAATTCCGTTAATCAAAGAAGTGGACTCCTCTTAAGAGAAGTATCATCGGGTGTTTCGAAAAGAGTAAGCATGATCTTGTAAAGAGTTTTTTCTTAACTTTTCATGCGTATCGGAGACACTGTTTACATTGATTTTTACCATTCTAATTTACAGTTAGACGTCTGTGGCTGTTGCAATTCCACTTAAAGTAAGCGTCTTTTGATGTGACTATCGTAAAACCTACTATTGATATATAAGGACACCCTCTGAAATAATGGAGAACTAACTTTACAAACGATTTTAAGTTCAAAACTTGGTTTCTCTGTCAAAAAAGAGTCAATATTCATTTTTTAAAAACATTTAACGTGAATTTACATAAATGTTGATAATTATAATGTTCTTAATAAACTCTATATATATATATGTATTGACCATGTGTTCATTATAAGATAAATTGTATTAATTATTTGAATTATTGAGGTTGGTGGTAAGTGGGCAAAAAAAAACTTATAAGCAATAATGCTATGCAGTGCAGCATCTTGAAAGGGTTTTACCCGTACAACCTTGACTCGTACGAAATTTTGACGCGTACGATCTTGACCTGTACAGCTTTGACGCGTATGACCTTGACTCGAGCGGCTTTGAATCGTACGATTTTTTTCTCTGAAACGGATACCGAGGTGACAAATCTAAATACCTAATAAACATTAAAAGCTATGTAGACTCTCTGATAGGGATGCCGAGTTGACAAACCCAATCTGGGAGTGACGACAGTGTTATATTAACAACTCGCAGACGAAAGATGTTGTAATATCACATGGTAGGTCATTTAGTCCTTTAACTCCTTCATATCTCCAGGATATAGTTCCAATACAATACTCTATGTTGTTATAGTTGTTAGGTTCTGCCGGGGCCCAACCTTCCCGTATTTGACCACCTCGAGACCAATGGTGTTCAATACCACCTCCAACTGTTCTTCCACAACCACCAAAATAGTACTTATCTATATACATAAAGATATGAAACCAAAATCATCGCTTGGCTAATTTAGACTAGAATTATAAACTAGTTGAACTTGATAAAACTAATTGATTGACCTGTATGCTAGTGAATACAGCCAATCAGAGCTCTCGACAGAAAGATTGTTAATAATATGGCTGCGCATGACGTTGATGCTTTATAACAAGGCATTTGATGCGTTACATATTCAACTTTAAAATCACTAGAGGTTTGAGGACCGAAAAAAGCGTTTCATTTGGGACAAAGAACAGATACCATGTGTGCTCCAGACTGGTGACGTTAATAATACAGTTGAAAATAGACGTTAAACTCTAGAAAATGCCTGAGGGTGGGGCAGTGGCGCCTCTAGGAAACATCAGATGAGGGGGCCGAGTAGGGGCCACAAAATTTGCAATGTATAATGATAAGAGATTTGAAAGTGGGGGGAGGGGGGCAAAGCCAGGCCAGCTTTTCTCTGACCCCCCCCCCCCTCCCAAAATAAAAACGCCTCTGGGGGAGGCCAAAAATAAGAGGTGTCCTAAAAGCCGAAAACCCCTTGAGGCCAGGGGAATAGGGGCTGACAGGTGGTGTGGTCTTAGATGCATTTTGAGTTATTTCCACTTCAATATGAGAACTTTCACACGGTCCTTCCCTAAATACGCTACTGGTAAAACTCCATACATTTAATTTCTTTTAAAACACTATATATGATTCTAGCATACTTACTGACATGATAGTTGACTGGAACAACAGAGAATGTGATATTCATTTTCTCATCTGAATTCAGATTTACAAGATATCCGCCATCTTGCTGACAATGTTGTTGAGCATCAGTCCATTTTGCAACAATGCTACCAGAATATTTGATACATACACCCAGACCGGGATACACGGTGTACCCTTTAGATACACAATCTGATTTGTCTAAAACATAGGACGTAAAATTCCATGAAGAGAATGCCCCCAGGCGAAAAACATTATACTTTGCTTTTTTCTTGTGAAAACATCAACAGATAAGGCACTTGTCCGCTCATTTGGAGGTCCAGGGTTCGATCCTTGCATTGATCTAGATAGTAGATAGACCTTCGATTTTCCTACCACGTTGCAATGATGCAGGTCGGAGGGGCTGACATGGAAAAAGAATCTAGTTGTTTGGAAGGCACAATAGACTGCAGTCCTGTTCACGTTAAAGATCCCTAGACAATTTAAAATTTAGGAAGAGTAGGTCTTTAGGCTAGCTCTGCTATCGTCGCAAAATTGCCTGATACTTCGCATGTCTGTGCAGTTCCTTAGCCCAATAAGATGCAGAACATTAGACGTTAGAACTTCGTTTCATTTTATTTTCACTTACCTGTAACTTTCACTATAACAGACGAAACAGTCACGTGGAGTATGGTATTGTTAACATCCGGTTGTGACGTCAAGTAGTAACAACGGCCATTTTGAAAAGCCACCATCTTGGATAATTCTTGGTTGCTATGAGCTGCGCACGAAAACATACTTCTGCTAGGAACGGAAAATGTGTACTGCATCTGATCTGGAACTGTCAACGCTTGGATACCGATTCGGAAAAAACGGAACATGGCTGCCTTTGTAACTAAAATCGAGGTAAACACAAACACACAGGAAATAAACCAGCGCATTCTGTTGATCGTTTGGTTTTCACTTTTTCACTAAAACAATCTACAAATAAATTTGAACACAATACGCAATCGGTTTGTCATCTAGAAGAACATGGTTATTGCGTATCCTTTAACCTACGACTGTTGCATTGGTTTTCTTTTTAGTGTCCTTGCCTTGTCTGGAAAATCTGCGACAAACCTTGCGAAAAGGAAGATCAAGGTGTTGATTTGGATTTCTTTATAGTTTTCTTACCTTCTTAAGACACACTGTAACAAAAACTTAGTCGTTCGTTTCATTGCGCAAATAGTCATAACAAAAACACAGTTACTGTAGGCTACTGTTAAAGGAGCATTTTTTGTATATTATATTCGTTATAAAAACGTCGTAATTTATACCTGAAAATATTTCTAAAGTTGGCGTTAAAAAAATTACGGCTAGATTTTTTAAGTGAAAACTTAAGGGATAGGCTACATTTCTCTAGACTTCGGTGTATAGTTTTCACAATTTTGACGGAAAATAACTTTCCCTTTAACTGATGTAATTACCTGTGACAAAGAAATTCCTTGAAAGCATTCATCAATTTTTTATTTTAAGACTTAAGTACTTTGTTTTGATGCATGACTTTTAAATTTGTGGAAGACAATGGCAGAAATTAACAAAGAAAGAGAATATTTTCAAGATCATTCCACCCATTTTGTTACAGACTAATTCACAGACAGCTAAAACAAATGGATTGACTTAATGGGTTCGGCCTGCCTTTATCGAGGATTGATTAAGGTCTTGAATATATGTAAATAGTCTTCAGAAGTATTAGAAATGATACGAAAATCGCATAATTCCTTAAAAAAAATACTTCTAGGAATTTCACATTCTATTTCTATATATGTCTTTTATATATATATGACATAGACTCGAGAAAAGATGAGTCGTCAATTAAACTTTCAAACGCGGATAATTCAGGACACACATAGATTTGGTGGCTCAAATTTCGATGGTGAACTGTGAACACTATTCCTGAGAAGCTTATCTTATCAATTGGTCAAAGGGATGGCGAATTTGTCTCTTTAACGCTGGTTATAATCCTAAATGTGGGAGCCGCGAAGTCCACATATACCAATATTTCTTTGGGTTTAATGCCAACAGGAAGTTTATCATTGTTTATAAGCTTTTAAACAAATTTTCAGGTTTTCAAAAATAGTTTCATTATAACTTTCTAGTTTGATTTTTTGTTTTAATTGTTCACAAGTCTATGTTTTACAAATGTAGCATTTCTATAAAAGTCCACATTAAAGTTAGCTTCTCCTTTCACTTCTTTGTTTACTTTCCTGCGATACCACAATTCTAAACAGTCATACGCCAAGGGCTCAAACTCGTAATGGAATTTATTAGCGAATAATTCAGGCCTTATAGTAAGTATTGGTAAATCAGCCATTCCAAAAATACACACACTTCGTTTAAAATTTCTACTTCCGCAGTGTAAGACCGTGTACCAAATTTTATACCGACTGAGCTCTTGTCGACCAATGTCTTCGACATCACCTGCAAGATAAGATTGAAAAAGTGTTTTGCCTGATACGGTATCTCTTTAATGACACAATACTGCGACCAAATGCGATCTTCGTGCGACTGGAATTGTACAAGGTCGCGCTACTTAAGGAAAACTAGATATAGTCCCTGAAAAAGCCCATAAAAATAGTCGACCAACTAGTACACACCGAGAGTTATGCGACCATATTGCGTTCTAAAGTTTTTCAGTGTCTCTTGTACCCGTGTGCTGCGCTTTTATACTGCTCAACGAGATGTTACAACTCTTGCCCGGCGACGAAGAGTTAGTATATTGCGGATAACCGTGCCAGAAGGACGTATATCTCATATGATTGAACCGCTTGACATTCAAATACTTACCTATATAAGAACCGGGAACTTTTAAATGTGGATTATTGTTCAAAGACGTGAAAAAACTTTCATCTGGAACCAACATAGTTTTACTCCATTCTAACAAATCTTGGGCTGTTTGGTTAAATAAAACATAATGTATGAATGCTCGTGATGCTGTCATGTGGACAGATCCTTTACACACCTTGATGTTATGTGGTGGTGGGTTTTTAGGATCTACTCGGTCTGGATTCATACTGAAATAGCCAGAGAATGGATGAATTAATGAATGAATGAATGAATAAACAAACGAATGAATAAACGAACGAATGAATAAACGAACGAACGAATGAATGAATGAATGAATGAATGAACGAATGAATAAACGAACGAATGAATGAATGAATGAATGCTCACCCATTTTCTTTTCCAAGTATATCATTAGCTCCTTGATAAGATTTCAGTATCTTGACTAATTCATAATTAGTTTTTAACGGAAATTCTTGTCCTGTCAAGTTGATATAATAACGCCATTTTGTTTTATGGGCGTATAGTTCTCTTAGGCACACGATTTCTGGCTCTAAAACTGTAAACGTTCCCCAGCGGACGTCCACGTGTTTGGAGGCGATCCACACATTAGGAAGACAAGACACGATGGATTTTAAAGCCATGTAAAATTCTATGGACGATTTAGAGTCTATATGAATACAATGTACATTATGAGGTCTGTAAATGGCTCTAAGTAGTCGCTCAACTTGATCCAAATCCTTAAAAACCAAAATTCCGAACGCTATTGGGAAATCTTTTTCCTCTTGTGAACTGCTGTCTGTTATATATCCCATTTGTGAAGTAAATTTATCACAGTCTTTGGTTACATCGGAATAAAAATCAAGCGATGTATTTTTTCTTATCACTTGCAATTTTTGCAGTTTTTTCACTAAATTTTTATCAGTGTCTTTAATCAAGGTATCACAAACATCTACAAATTGTAATCCAGTTTTAGCGAACGACTCTAAACTACTAGACCCATTTCCTTCCGAAATAATTTTTAATGAAGCTTTTTGATTTATTTCTAAACTTTGAAACCATCTGTTATTTGTTATTTCTGTATTTTCATTGGATTGCTTTAAACCGCTCCCAATAAGCAGGTTCAGGAACACAACGCCGCCAAACAAAATCATGAATAGACGTTTATAAAATTTAACAGATGTGGTCGATTTAAGGCAGCTGAAATGTAGAAAAAAAAGGCTTTTAAGTTATTGTGCCGGATTTTCGAATTCTTTAGTCGAATTTTGGACATTAGAACTAGAAATTCGACGAAGTGGAAAAATAAAAATAAAAAATTACGATGTTCCCAGGATTTTTTATATGTGACGAAAATATTGCGTTCTTCTATCTAGCGGATAGTGTTAAATAGTGATGTCCCGGCTTGTATTTTCGAGTGCTCTATCATCTCAAATTAAATCAAATGGAATTTTCACTTACCTCCGTAACCATTTCCAACTGTCAATAAACATAATAAAATACACACGTATTAAACTAGAACCTCTTCTTTTTAAAAAACAGATTACATAGATGTTTACAAATAAATGTTTACAAATAGGTGTTAACTAAATTGTAAACAAATTGATGTTTACAAATAGATGTTTACAGATAGGTTTTTACAAATAGATGTTAACATAAAGCTTTTTACTCATAAATGTTTACTAAATTGTAAACAAATACATGTTTACAGATAGGTGTTTACGAATAGATGTTTACTAAATTGTAAACAAATACATGTTTACAGATAACAGTTAACAAAAATGTCCACAAATAGATTATAACAGATAGGTCTTTACAGATAATAGTTTACAAAAATATTAACTAAACGTTTACAAAAATGCCCATCAAATAGATGTTTACAAAAAATGTCAACATAGGTGTGTACAGCTCCGTCCAGAAATGAAAACTAAAATGTCCATGTGGTGTAGAAATTAATGATATAAATATTGATTATTAATCTATTCCCGCGGCGACTATTATACAATGATTACAAAAGAAAGGGTATTTCATTTTTATTCAAGACAACAGATGTCGGTTCACAAAGTTCACGTCGTGGGTAAATGGGATTTCGACCTTTTTTAAAAGTACAGTTGAATACAGCCGAAAAAAACCCAAATATAAAATTTAAAAGTTTAAAAATAAATGAAAAGTGATTGATTGTGTTCACCATGTTTTGTGTATTTTTAAGGGCGTAATTAGGAGTGCTAGGCATTGGCGGCGCTGATTGTTGAAATTAAGATGCGGCAGATCTGTGGATGTGCCATAGGCGCAATCCTCCCATGGGACGTCGGGGTTAGTCCCCCCCCCCCCCCCACCCCTCTCCCCCAAAAAAAATATTTAAAAAGTAGAGTTGATTTGGCGCCTACTGGCATATTTTGTCGGTTGTGTCTATTGTTATTCTTTTCTTAAAAATTTCTATAACTAATTGATATGTATATTGCGGAGACCGAAATATCTGACTCTAGTACAGCCTCTGATAGCTATTTTGAAAGATGTCGACTGGTGTCGAGATAGAAAAATTACACTCTGTTTTAAGGGGATTTTTCCGCATCTCCGAAAATGCGAGAGTGTTAAACCTATTTCTTTAAGACGTGTCCACCAATATATTCAATGCGGATCCAATTAGACTCGTTTCCAGCCTTTTTTCTAACGACTCGAGCCCCTTCTATCAATCTCGGTCAGTTCATTGGTCAATATTCATATTAGTTAAACAAAAATTGACCAATGAACGTACAGGTTTGACGAAAGGACGCGACTCCCTCAGAACCGATTACTTGTATGAGTCACAGAGTAATATAGTGTCAGTTGTCTAAAAACAAAACCTCACGACCCCCCTCCCCCCTTTGCATACACTCCTGAACACTGTAAAACTATTTACAGTCATCGTAAAGGTAGTTAGATATAATAATATGTTAGAAAAAACGCATCTTCGAAGGTGAGGAAAATCCCCAAAGCCGACAATTGTCAAAAATATCTATCAGAAGTTGGAATAGAGGTAGATGTTTCGGACTAGACTATACGTTGGTTTACATTTTTTGCAAGCTGTCGCATTTGAACCTATCCATAATTTGAGGAAGGTCGAGATTCTTTGCGGGGGATTTAATTTTTAATAGGATAGAGCTCTATTTTCTGTTTGAAAACTATTCCAATTCATGGTTGTTGTTTTTGAATATTAATTTGTATAATGTGTAGGTGTAGAACGGTTGAAACCTTAAGAAGACCTTTATCCATCTATTATAGTACATCTGAGGAGAACAACATAGGCCTCCTATAATATAGTGTTGCGTTATATAATTCAATCAAATGAAACACCTTAGAATTTGAGTCAGTAAATAACCCAAAGAAATAAAAAAGAAACGGAAAAAGTTGAATTTTTAATGGGATTACTTCTCATTTATTGATCAGACAATAATACGGTTGAATAAAAATTTAAATTTAGGTCTGTAATGATGGCATGTTTGAAATATAGTAAAAAATTGCGAGAATTATTTGTGGTCTGGAACCTTTTATACGAAAATTTTGTAGCTAGCTCTGTAGCATTTTCACTTCCGGGAAGATAACTCGACATAAAGGAAAAAGAAAAACGAGTTTTAGGTTTGTTTCTTGGGTTTATTAGTACTGCGTCATTTCTCGATTGCTCCTAAGAATTACAGACACCAATTTAGTACAAATATAGTTGGTTTATGGGCTTAAAACTATAAAAGTTTTCAATCACTTCCATTTTACTTTCAAATCAAATTCACAATTTTTTCATTGCCAGGGATTTCATCAACTAAGACTGAATCAGAACTTCTCAAGCCAAAGACAATCTAAGTCTCTAAGTACAAAAGCGCCCCCCCCCCCTCCGCCCTCCAACACCTCACAACCCCCCAAACATATAAACAAACGAGATTTACTAAGTATGGCACAGGTCATTGTTATAAAATGATATGGTGTATTTCAGATAAGAATTAAATACCAATATAAACTGACAGAATGTCTGATGATTGGGGAGCATTGTGTGATGCTCAGGAAGCTTCTTTAACAAAAACGGTATGATATATAGATGGGTCTCTATCAAAAACTTTTGTAGTCATTCAAAATGTCAAACTTCACTTCAGCTACATTTATTATATTGAATTTGACTGTTAAAATTAATAGATAGAATAATCTAGCAACTAAACAGCTTTTTTCGGTAGTGATGTCATAAAAAACTTTTTCATTTAGTTGAATTGCAAGAACCACAGATGTTGGAATGAAAATTGGATTGTATCAAATTAATGCTATCAGTGTCCCCAATACACATAAAAACTCTTTACTATCTCTTTAACAAATCAATTTACATTTATCCAGAAAATAATGTTAATAGAAAAAACAATTTTATATTGTAGGTCGGTGGATTGAATATTGGACAAAGTGGTCAACCGAATAGTGTGGCCAGTCCCCCAAAACCAGCCTCAGCAGTTACGAATGGAAGTGGGGACACAGCCCAACCCCCTGCCTCGGGTGATGCTACAGAGGAAAAACAAGTATCGAAGGAGGAGGAATCATTGCTACGTAAAATCCTTAGATCTAAATTGGTGACAACGAAAGCTGATTTAGAAGTTCTACGTAAAGATCCTAATTCGCCATTGTTTTCCGTTAAAAGTTTTGAAGCTCTCAATTTGTAAGTATATCATAATATATAATAAGCTTTTTTTGTAAAGAATTTGTTTATTTGTGTGTTTCAGCCAAAACCAAACAGAATTAAGTTGTAAATTATTAAAGAATTTCATGTATGCTTCTTTAGTCTTCAGGAAGACTCAAGCTGGTGTATTGATGCAGTGCAATACAACATGCCTTGATACGCCTATCATAATGCATGGTTGTGTATTGATACCTTAATGATACCAGGTAAACATATATAGATCGACAATACCCATCACCAAAAGGACGACGGGAGAAAAATGTCGAAACCTTGCATAAAACTTTAGCCAGTGATTGTTGTTCCATAAAACTGTGTCTATATAAGATAGGTATGATTCTTTATTTTTACAGGAAAAGTGAATTATTAAAAGGTTTATATGATATGGGATTTAATGCTCCATCAAAGATTCAAGAAACAGCGTTACCGTCCCTTCTGGCAGATCCGTAAGAAATTGTTTATTATTTTAGTTAAGGTACCTGTAAAGAAAATATAGCATTCATTTGACCCATTTGAACAAAGCGCCATTTCATATTGTTAGATCAGAACAGTAGGATGTAGGGCTGGGTAAAATGATCTAAATAATCGATGATTGTTTCTCAGAAGATATAATCCGATTATCTATTATCAAATTTCATAATCGTTAAATGTCAAAGTTTCATTTCGTCCATTGTACCTGTTAACAAGTAGTAATCTCTTGAACATAGTTTCCCTTCAGAACATAACATACCCTTAATAAACTATAATAACTGATCAAAGCAAGAATATACTTCTAAGACGCAAAAATAACCAAAGAAATCATGAAATGTCAGGGTTTCTCAATTAAATTATTTCGATTATTCATTGATTTTTGATCAGTAGTCTGCTATCGTCAACCGACCTCAATTTTGTAATGGATACCTAGCCCTAGTAGGATGTAAAACTCTATTTTGTTCCACTGTTTTCAGCCCAGTAAATATGATAGCACAGAGTCAAAGTGGAACAGGTAAAACGGCAGCTTTTGTTTTAACGATGTTAAGTCGAGTGGATACCAGTAAACATTATCCACAGGTGAGTGACCAGCTTAACTGGAAGGTTTTCATTTAATTGTAGAAGAACTGAATATCTGATTTTGATTCTTAAGATTAACACGTATAGAGCTCTATTATTATGATAAGCAAAATTTAGACGACTTTACTAGAATTTTATTATGGTAATGGCAAAACTTAGTCGAAAGTGAGTTGGATTGTTGTCTTCTAGGGCGATAAGGTGCTGTGGGTTTGAATCCTCAGGGTAAGTAAAATTCTGATGTCATGGCAAGAGAAACACTTGTCTGTTGGGAAGGCTATTTAGGGGAAAACGAACATTAGATTTTTGTTATTTTATTCCAGTGTCTCTGTCTTGCCCCAACCTATGAACTAGCGTTACAGATCGGTCAAGTTACAGAACTGATGGCCAAACATATGACTGACTTGAAAATTAAATATGCTGTAAAAGGCAACAGAAGTAAGTTGATTTAAATTTGTATATTATGCGTGTATTTGGTTCAGCTCAGAGCATTGAGGTATGAAATATTACTCACTTGCTTTTCAATGCCACAAGACTTGACTTGAAATATCTAAGAGTAACTTACATTTCAATTTGAATAGAGTGAGCTTTGTGCTTATTTGAGGGTTGGCTGAAATGATTTAAGTCTAAGTAGGATATCTCAGTCGGATTGAAACAAAATTTAGCCACCATCAAGGAAGGGACTGTGTAGATAAGTCTTTCACGGTTAGGCTTAGAACTTTTCATTCAGCCCTCTTTTATATATTGATATTGTTTTTAAATTTTTTATCCAGAAGTATATTATTATGTTATATTGTTAAGAATGGCTGATATTATCATTTCAGTCGAGAGAGGTCAAAAAATAAGTGAACAGATTATAATTGGTACGCCAGGAACTCTGATGGATTGGGCTTTACGCTATAAATTTTTTGATTTACGAAAGATAAAAGTGTTTGTATTAGATGAAGCAGATGTTATGATTGCTACACAGGGACATCAAGACCAGTCCATTCGCATACAGAAGTAAGTTTAGACTGGATCAAATACATTCAGTCACTGAGTTTTTGCCCTTAACTGATTAATGTCACACATGGCATTTCTGATTCATCCTAATTGATAGATTGTCTCCCTTTGATTTTAGAAGTTTAGCAGACGTCTGTCAATAGTAATATGTACGGCTATCCTGCAAGATGTTACCTTATTGCACACTGCATTTCCCTTCTTCAAGAGCTCTGACAAGACTTGATCACTCATAAATCAACTGTAGTCTGATTCATCTAAATATATTGTTGTCTCCCTTTGATTTTAGAAGTTTAGCAGACGCCTGTCAATAATAATATGTACAGCTATCCTGCAAGATGTTACCTTATTGCACACTGCATTTCCCTTCTTCAAGAGCTCTGACAAGACTTAGTCTGATTCATCTAAATATATTGTCTCCCTTTGTTTTAGAGGTTTAGCAGACGCCTGTCAAATGTTGTTATTTTCGGCGACGTATGATGCAGACGTGATGAAGTTTGCCCAAGATGTGATACCTCACGATCCTATAACTATAAAACTACGACGAGAGGAAGAGAGTTTAGATAATATTCGCCAGTATTATATTGAGTGTGACAACATAGAAGACAAATATAACGCTATATCTAACATCTATGGTACAATATCTATAGGGCAGTCCATGGTATTTTGTCATGTAAGTCTCTTTACATCTCTCTATGTGGACGGATATTGTCTGCACCCCCGTCCGTCCGTCAACATTTGCTTGTAAACGCTCTAAAAATTAGATTTTATGATGGAATCAAATGAAATTCGGTATGTGTATACATATGCATAAAACGAAGATCAAGTTCGAATTTCAGCTATTTTCGACCGTTAAAAGCAGAGTTATTGCCCTTGCCCCATAATCTTGAATATGTTATTACTCTCTTAGTTTTCAACCGATTTTGATGAAACTTAAAATGGATGTTATTGGACCTAAATGGAAAGGTTTGAGAAAGTTTAGTTTACTTCTGGTTAAATTCAAGGCTTTTTCAAGATTTAGGCGTCTTACGTCAGTTTTGAGGAGTTATTGCCCTTTAACCTTTGTACAGTAAGTGCTTCTATAAACATCAATTGCTCTTAAACACTCTGTCCGTCTGTCCGTCCGTCAACATTTGCTTGTAAACACTCTAAAGACTAGATTTTTTGATGGGATCAAATGAAATTCGGTATGTGTATATATATGCATAAAACGAAGATCAAGTTCGAATTTCAGCTATTTTCGACCGTTAAAAGCAGAGTTATTGCCCTTGCCCCAAAATCTTGAATATGCTATTACTTTCTTAGTTTTCAACCAATTTTGATGAAACTTAAAATGGATGTTATTGGACCTAAATCGAAAGGTTTGAGAAAGTTTAGTTTACTTCTGATTAAATTCAAGGCTTTTTCAAGATTTAGGCTTCTTACGTCAGTTTTGAGGAGTTATCGCCCTTTAACCTCTATACAGTAAGTGCTTTTATAAACATCAATTGCTTGTAAACGCTCTAAAAACTAGATTTTTTGATGGAATCAAATGAAATTCAGTATGTTTATACATATTCATAAAACGAATAGATCAAGTTCGAATTTGAGCTATTTTCGACCGTTAGAAGCAGAGTTATTGCCCTTGCCCCAAAATCTTGAATATGCTATTACCAGTACTCTCTTAGTTTTTAACCGATTTTGATGAAACTTAAAATGGATGTTTCGTTTTTACCATCTGCATGCTGTGAAGGGCATATATGGCTGTGGTCCACTATCTTAATGTGTTATCATCACCCCGTTCAGAGAGTCCACATCACTAAAAATGTTTGTTTCGTATTAAGTGAACTCAGCTTCTCTTTCAGGGAGTCCACATGTTTTTTGGCATTTAACATCCCTTCCAGACAGACCATAATGTTTATTTTGAATTTCGATTCAGTAATCACCATCTTTTTGAGAGTCCACAAGTTTATTTGGGATGTTTATTTAATGTTGTCAATTCTTTTGTGTTTTCTCAGACAAGAAAGAATGCTAGTTGGCTGGCTGAGAGAATGTCTAAGGATGGTCATGTAGTTGGAATATTAACAGGAGATTTGGCTGTGGAACAGCGAGCAGCCATTATCAAACGATATAGAGAGGGAATGGAAAAAGTTTTGATAACTACTAATGTTTCAGCTAGAGGTATGTTAAATGTTTGTTTAAATTGGACCACACCCCCCCCCCCCCCCCCTCCCCCTTCAGTTACTTCCCTTAACTGCCTTCTTGTATCAACATCTAATACTATAGATATTGAAGTCTTTACTACTAAAATTTATTTTCGCTTCTCTAGGTATTGACGTAGAAATGGTAACAGTCGTGGTGAACTTTGACCTGCCAATATTACCCGACGGTAAACCCGACTGTGAGACATACCTGCATAGAATAGGACGAACTGGTCGATTTGGTAAATCTGGTATCGCCATTAATTTTGTGGACGGTCAAAGGTCAATGAACAACTTGAAATATATCGAGAAACATTTTGGTAAGTTCTGCTTTGAACTGTCCACGTCTGGACCTTAATTTCAAGACTTGCTTCAACAGCTGTTTGAATTTTCCCATCTGAATTGGCTTGCTAATCTTCATGGGTGGAAATTGCACATGAGATCAACACAATTTTCCTCATTGAACACTGCATGTTGTTGTTTCCTGCCCTTATTAGTCAGAAGTAAGAGGCTACTTCAGTTCACAAGGATCCTGCCTGTCTTGGGCAAACCTCTTGACGTTGGTCTTTCCCAGATTAACATGTTTTTGCGCTTCCACATGGCTGCTTATGGTGGCAAATATTTGAATTTTATATTTTCAGGGAGGAAGATAATAAAACTTGATGCAGAAGACATGGATTCTATTGAAAAAATTGGAACATAAACTGTTTTGTGTTTCAATAATAGGAATACTTTGTTTTATTGTTTTTTGGAAGGACATATGATGACTGAAAGTGAAGGTTTACTTGATGACACCCCTCATCTTCCTATTAAACTCTTCCAAAAATGCATTCAATGTAATGCTGTAAATGCATGATTGGAAGAGCTCATTTGTAAAATTAGGGGTGTTTTTGTAGAAAGTGCTATCAAAATAATTTTTGTTAAGTTCTTTATTGATAGAATCGCTTAAAGAGAGTTGACATACCCATATTTCATAAACATTATTATGTGGACTCTGAAAGAGATGAGAGTTGACAAACTTAAATACAATATAGACATTATTAGCTATGTTATGTTTATAAAATATCATTATGAGGACAAAACTTGTTCAGTTGACAAACCCAAATGCAGAGTGGTGATGCACCCATTAGATATGTGTACCCTCTGAAGGATAGCAGTGTTGACAAATTTAAATATCAAATACCCATTAATTAAATTTGTGGACTCTCTAAAGGGGATGTTAAATTGATGAATTATAATTTGAGCTTTAATTTAATGAGTTGACAAACCCAAACGCAGAGGGCTTCATAATATGATGTAGATTCAAAAGAATTTTTTAACCAGTTAAATAACCAAAGCTTATTTTGAATATCCTATAATTTAGGACAAAATGTTTTTATTTTGGTTTCAAGAAGATTTTGGTTTCAATAAATGAATAAATTGTTAGAGAATATAGATTCATTCTATGTAAATATAAAATAATGTTCATACTTGTTTTATGTTGTTCATTGTATAAAAACAATCATTTCTTTGTCTTGTTTTTTGGGGGACAATTTGGGAAGGGTAGGGGCATATGTGATTCTATATATCTCCATGTGATTCTCTTCTATTGTGGTTGATTATCACATCGAGTGTGGTAGATTATCACATTGAGAGTGGTAGATTATCACATCGAATGTGGTAGATTATCACATCGAGTGTGATAGATTATGACATCGAGTGTGATAGATTATCACATCGAGTGTGGTGAATTATCACATCGAGTGTGGTAGATTATCACATCGAGTGTGGTGAATTATCACATCGAGAGTGGTGGATTATCACATCGAGTGTGGTGGATTATCAAATCGAGTGAGGTAGATTATCACATTGAGCCATCGAGTGTGGTAGATTATCACATTATCACTTCGAGTATGGTAGATTATCACATCGAGTGTGGCAGTATCAATGTGATAATTTACCTTCCTCGATCTGATAATCTATTTTCCTCATGTCATAATCCATGATGTGATAATCTTCGATGTGATAATCGATAATCCTCGATGTGATAATCAATAATCCTTGATGGGATAATCTTCGATGTGATTATCGATAGTCAACGAGGTGATAATTGATAATCCACGATGTGATAATCCTGGATGCGATAATCCCCGATGTGATAATCCTCTATGTAAAAACCAGTAATCCACGATGTGATAATCGATAATCCTTGATGTGATAATCCATGATGTGATTATCGATAATCCACGATGTGATAATCCACAATGTGACAATCGATAATCAACGATGTGATAATCGATAATCCGCGATGTGATAAGCGATATTCCACGATGTGATAATCGATAATCCCCGATGTGATAATACTCTGTGATAATCCTCTATAATCCACGATGTGGTAATCGATAATCCACGATGTGATCATCCTGGATGATTATCGATAATCCATGATGTGATAATCCTCGATGTGATTATCGATATTCCTCGATGTGATAATCGATAATCCACGATGTGATAATCCTGGATATGATTATCGATAATCCACAATGCGATAATCCGCGATGTGATAATCGATAATCCGCGATGTGATAATCGGTAATCCACGATGTGATAATCCTGGATGTGATTATTGATAATCCTCGATGTGATAATCCTCGATGTGATTATCGATATTCCTCGATGTGATAATCGATAATCCGCGATGTGATTATCCTCGATGTGATTATTGATAATCCACGATGTGATAATCCTGGATATGATTATCGATAATCCACGATGTGATAATCCTGGATGTGATTATTGATAATCCACGATTAGATAATCCTCGATGTGATAATCCCCGATGTGATAATCGGTCATCCCTGATGTGATAATCGATAATCCGCTATGTGATAATCGTGGATGTGATTATCGATAATCCACGATTAGATAATCCCCGATGTGATAATAGATAATCCCTGATGTGATAATCGATAATCCGCGATGTGATAATCGATAATCCGCGGTGTGATAATCGATAATCCACGATGTGATAATCGATAATCCGCGATGTGATAATCCTGGATGTGATAATCCTCGATAATCCTCGATGTGATTATCGATAATCCTGGATGTGATAATCGATAATCCGCGATGTGATAATCCTCGATGTGATTATTGATAATCCACGATGTGATAATCCTTGATGTGATTATCGATAATCCACGATTAGATAATCCTCGATGTGATAATCCCGATGTGACAATCGATAATCCGCGATGTGATAATCCTCGATGTGATAGTCCCCGATTTTATAATCGATAATCCTCGATGTGATTATCGATATCCTCGATGTGATTATCGATAATCCTCGATGTGATTATCGATAATCCACGATGTGATAATCCCCGATGTGATAATCGATAATCCACGCTGTGACAATTCTCGATGTGATAATCCTCAGTGTAATGTGATAATCCTTGATGTGATAATCCTTGCTAATTGAAATCCTCAGTGTAATGTGATAATCCTTGATGTGATTATCTGCCATAGCTGATGTGATAATTCAATACTCTATAGTCTAAGATGTGATTCTGAAATACTGCATTGAACAAATATGATTCTATAGCGCTCTATGTGGTTAGATGTGTTTTTGTTATATCCCCTGGGGACAGATGAGGACAGATGTGTTTTTATAATACTCTACGGGGTCAGATGTGTTTTTGTTATACCCCCTGGGGACAGATGTGTTTCTATAGTACTCCATGTGGTCAGATGTGATTCTGTCATACTCCACATGCATAAAAAAACCAGAAGGAAAAGACACAGAAGTATCATAATTTATTTGAAAGAGTAGTTTGAGAGAAGAGAAAATAATGAAGAGAGATTCCTAAACATCACAATCACATATATTCAATTTACAGATACAGTGGCTCACAGAGACTTGAGTACAGCCAGGGAGGTAATTAGAATTGCAGCCGAGATAGCAGTCATTGTCTCATGAACTACATACAAAGTGGACTGCTTGTGTTAATCTTTTAATTTGTCCCTGAATGTGCTCAAATTTCTTATGAGTTGCTCTCTTAACTGACCATACTTTTTGTACAGCAAAAATTACAAATATACATCAGCAAAGAATGCCAAGTTGAAAACCCCAAGTGCAGAGTAACAGTGTGTTTCTAATACTAATACTCATATACATTGAAAATGGCACACTTGTATTAGTGCAGGATAGATCAAGGAATGCCAGGTTTTCCATTCATAATCTTATGCAGTGAAAACGGCACGAATGTATTTGTGCAGCATAGAATCAAAAATATTAACAATTCCTCAACAGAATACTCAGTTGAAAATCTCAAGTGCAGAGGGTTCCACTTCATGATATTTATCTCTAATATCTCTATATATATACATATATTGTTGAAATGGATTCGAAATAGGTTTACTAGTCTTTGTATGTGTATCAGGGAGCCGTGCAGCTTCTGTTGGCATCATTCTATTTGTCAGTAGGATATCTGTGGTTCCTGTAATTCTAGAAAACAGTGCTACTGATACCATGTCACTCAGAATGGTGCTAATAAAAGCTGTAAGTGTCCCTGGTACACATACAAAGACTGGAAAACCTTTTTCAAATTCCTCTTTGTTGAATACAGTTGATGAGACATAACAAAATACAATTAACATACTACCTTGAATTATTCAAGGTATACATTCAACTAAATATTACCTTTACAACCAATAAAGGTATATAGTCATATAAATTTTATACTGTATCAAGTCAACACAAAAAATGAACTTAAGCTACCCGTAGTATTTTTCAGAATGAATATCTGGCATTGGGTTCGTCTACAATAAATGCTAATTGATATACTAAAATATGATTTGCGACTTTTTTACTAAACTACATCATATTATGATACCATTAAATTATGCATTAATGCATTATGACATCCCAATTCTAATTTTTTAGTTGAACAAAGATATTTGCACAAAATAAAATATCAATGGAGTTTTACATCCTACTGTTCTTTACATATATTAGCAGGAAAGACAGACAAACCAAGTATTGGCAGTACGAAATAGAAATTTACAATATTTTACATCATTCTATTTCTGAACCAAAAACTTAATAATCCTTAATAATGAAACAAACATGAAATAGGAGTTTTACATCCTACAATTCTGCACTTCACTGGACTAAATTTGACACTAAATAGACAAAAAAATAAATTTTGTGAAGATGATTAAAAAAAGGAGCTTTACATCGTAATATTCAACTTCTTAAAGAGATTGTAAAAAGGTTTTCCAAAGTTTATATGTGTATCTAGGACATGGATAGCATCAATTTGCTGTCAAAGTTTTATGACATCGCTAATCAGAAAGGGCCTAATAAGATAAAGTTTTTAGTTTTATTGGAATTGCAAGAACCATAGTCTTAATGGAATTGCAGGAACCACAGACATCTGATTCAGAAAGGGCCTAATATGATAAAGCTTTTAGTTTTTGTGGAATTGCAAGAACCATAGTCTTAATGGAATTGCAGGAACCACAGACATCTGATTCAGCAAGGGTCTAATATGATAAAGCTTTTAGTTTTTGTGGAATTGCAGGAACCATAGCCTTAATTGAATTGCAGGAACCACAGACATCTGATTCAGAATTGGAATGATTTAATCTAGGCTATCAGTGTCCCAGATACAATTACAAAATTTAGAAAACCTCTTTACAATCTCTTTAACTACACCAGTAATATACAATTAACAAAAACAGAACATTATTATTTAAAAATAAAAACCAGTAAAATGTGCTGCATACAGAAGACATTTGTACATAAATTGTCGTCACAACCTCTCAATTATATAAAATCTTTTACAAAATATACAGAAAATAACAAAACACAAACATTAGACTTTATCATAGCCTAAAATACACTGCTTCTTCAAGACTTCTTCATCATTTGGATTTCTGAATTTGGCTAAGACTTCAGTAAAGATTTTTGAAATAATGACTTTACGAATTAATTTCAACTCTAAATTCCCACGATCAAAAGATTTTGAACCAAAGGAAGCAAAATTATGCAACATAGATGTGTGATTTAAAATTTCCACAGTTAAAAATGAGTGTTATGCAGAAATGGCTTCAGTGGAGTGGTAGAAAAGAAGAACTAGTACCACAAATCCCGAACATGCCCATTCTATAAAGTGTGGGGTGGTGCAGAACATCCCCCAAAAAAAGGGCCTAGTTTTTCTGTCTCTACACTAGCCCACAACTTTCAAAATAGCTATCATAGGCTGGAATAGAGGCAGATGTTTTGGTCTAACCCATCTAATGCCCTTGCCATGAAAATCAAGAATTCCAAATCAGTAAGAAACCCTGAGAACAAATTTCCCCTCCATACTCAATAACTAATACTATTTACAAAATATACAAAGAATATGGCATTTAATATACTAATATAATAACTCAGTCTAGTAGAGATATTCATACACATTCAAATCTCTTTCAAAATATAAACACATATTTTAAGATAGAACAAATAGTGTCCAAGGCAGTGGTAGCACTAGTCTCATGAGACTGGGGTACAAATAGGGGACAAACTGACTCAATGAGGAGACAACTTCGAGGCTGAATTCAAAAGTGAAGCAATTTTGTGGAGGCTTCTTGTCACCCAAGAAAAGTTTCAAAAATTCAATTGATTTAGTGCATTCTGACACCTATTGTGGGGCAAAAAAGTATTAAAAATCTTGTATTTTTCAATTTGTTAAATGTACTGGGGGTACTTTAGGGGGTGCCACTGGTCTAAGAGTAGAATAATTAGTAATTGAACTATGCAAGTCAGAACTATATTGTGTTCACTACTAAAACAGACTTCATGTGTTTATATTATAACTGGTTAACGAAGGTGTACGAATATCAATGCTTGACTATAATAACTTAACACAAAATAACTAAACCTCCACAATATCAACAAATTACTCAAAATAATCATATGGCTCTCACAAGGGTATAGGAGTCTTTTTACATTGCACCCTTGATCTCACAAACTGATATATAAATCATCATTTTATTGACTGACCAATCAGATGCCTGGAAAACCAAAATAAATGAAATCTGTGAAAAAAAAAAACCCTTCTGTTCTCATGAGGGTGTATGAGTTTTCCACATTGTACCCTTGATTTCTGAAGCTGATATTTCATGATCGATCAGATGACTGGAAAACCAAAATCATCCAAAATACAACTCTCTGAAACACGCCACTGAGTTAGTTGTCCAATATTTTAAAACTTTTGTTGTTGTGAAAAATAAAATTATTAAAAATAAACAAATGAGGGAGAATCCACTCAATTTAAATAAAATAATACATTTTGAACCCATTTCCCAAATAAGGAAAAACTAAAATGAAAAAAAAAAATCATAAAATAAGTTAATAAAGAATGAACTAATGTTTCTTGAATTCAGATTCTATATTAAAACACAAGGTATAAAGTAGGTCACTGATATCTATGCACATGCAGGGGCTATTCCAATCATAAACAGGAACAGTCCACATTGTTTTGAGGTAGTTGAAGTGGTAATGAACACAATTTAGGTTTGGGGCCTGTTTTTAAAACTTTATCACAAGAAATTAATAAACACACTTAACAAAGAACTCATCATGAAATCATCCAATCAAATTTCATCAAAAAAATTTAAATGTGAGCATTGTGAGATACCAAATGCAAATCAAAAAAGCCCCAGTCACTACTTGTACTACCACAAAGCAAAGTAGACTGGTCAGTTTTAGAGTGGAATGTTCCAGCATGTGCATTTATCACTTTGACCCACTTGTCACAGTTTATACACATCAAGTTTGAGCACTCAGTGAAAGTTTGGAATATCAAAATAAGTCTGAATCTCCCAACTATTTTTTATTCTACGATGTACTAGACACTTAGATTTTTCTGATTGTTTTTAGTTTGTGTTATTCCATTTTGTTTTGATATTTCATTTGAGCCTTCCTTTTTCTTTTTTTCCTCATCCAGTGCTTTCTGCATGTCCGTATAATATTGTAACGCGTAGCGAACTGGCTTGATAATGTCCTCCTGGAATTTAAAACAAACAAAATTTGGACCACATCTTTTAGTGAAAAAATTTTAATTCAGCTTAAGGCGAAGTTACTAATGATCTGAGTGCAGGATGGTGAATTTGCATTTCGAAATTTTTGCATGCATGCTGTAAGAGTTATTGCCCTTGACTCATACATGCTTTATACAGGAGGATTGACCATTAAAATTTGTGATGCTGTGTGGGCATATACTGTATACTTATGAATATAACGCGCACATCGTCTTACTCTCCAGTAAATCTGGAAAAATCTGTCATTATAAACAATATGCATACCATTAAGTACTCTTTATTGAGTTATTGCCCTTGATTCCAATATGCTTTGTTACAGCAGATTTTTATGAATATAACCAGCAATATAAATATGCAGCTGTGGTAATAAAACTAGATGCTTTACCTCGACTACAGGAAACAACTGGCCAACTGTTTCAAACAGAGGTAGCAAAACAAACTTAATAAATCCAATTTGAGACGTAGGTTTCGTGACTTTATCACGATCCATGAAAGGTGCCACAGGTAATCCTTCTAACTTCTCTAAATCACTCTATAAAATAGAAAAAAAAAATTTTATATGAAGACACAATGTCTTTAGAGAATCCTGTCTACCAGTTATATGTTTGGTCAACTTTGGTTTCCTCTGAACCTGTCTGTCAGCTGATGCGTCTAGCAAAGAGTTTACTTTAATTTTTAAGGCTCCTGTCAGCAGCTGGTCCTAGATCAAATGATTGGTAATGATATTACAATGATAACAACTGAAATTCTAGTAGATCCAGAATTAACTTTAACCAGCTTTTGAATACCAAGGCAAACAAAAATTTCTAGGTAATAATTAATGTTTCAGTAAAGTGCAAAAACACAAAAAATTAAAAAGCAAAGAACAAAACATGCGTAACAACACAAAGATAACACAATATTAAATATTGATTTTAATATTTAGATACCTGGTTCAATACTTCCAAACACAAATATTGATTTTATATATTTAGATACCCGGTTCAATACTTCCAAACACAAATATTGATTTTATATATTTAGATACCCGGTTCAATACTTCCAAACACAAATATTGATTTTATATATTTAGATACCCGGTTCAATACTTCCAAACACAAATATTGATTTTATATATTTAGATACCCGGTTCAATACTTCCAAACACAAATATTGATTTTATATATTTAGATACCCGGTTCAGCACTTCCAAACACAAAATTAATATTTGTGAAAATATAAAATTGGAATGTAAGGTGATCAATCATATTATACTGCGTTCAGACGAATAAAGCTAAGGCAGCTTAACTTCCAACCGTTCTTCGAGCCTGTTTTTTTGTCGTCTGAACGTGACCGGTTGAAGTTAAGCTGCCTTAACTTGCACCTACTTCGGAGGTGGCTTGAAACCTAGCTTGGAGAGTTAAGCTGGCTTAGTTTTGCCCTCTGAACGCTCCTGGCTAACAAAGCCGGATATAACATTTCCCGCGCGTGTGCAGTCCTGTCCCGCATTCCCACCATTACCTATATGTATTTTTCAACAAACAACAGCTTTAGCCATGGAGCAAGAAAATGAAAATGAACGAGCCAAAGAAAATTGGGGGACGCTTGAAACCAAATAATCGGAATGGTCGCCATTTTATGGGAAAAGTAAACATTACATTTAATAAAGTGTGCACAAGCTTTGCTACAAATTTGAACTCTCTTCTCTTGTGTTTTAATAGTTGGAAGAAATGCAATCTATATTAGTGTTAATATTTTCAAAAATAAATCGGTACCTGATTAAAAAATTCCTGAAGAAGGCATTCCAGCCAGGGTTCTGCCACTTCGACTGGTCGTACCTCATTTGAAATATCAGCTACTTTAATTAATATCATCAACAACTACCACAAAACAACAAAAAAATAAACAAATAAATAAATAAATAATAAATAAATAAATACACAAAATGGAGAGAGAGAGAGAGAGAGAGAGAGAGAGATTTATTCATCCTTTGTCAGACTTGTTTGTATTTAGAGAGAATTTGAATATTTTTCAGATAATTTTGATCAAATAGAAATGAGGCAAGGTTTGGGTCATTTTAATTTTCCTATCAATTTGAAACATTTACTGAAAAATCTCTGAAGGTATAATATCTGAGAAATCCAGTATTCTAAAATGGAAAAAGACTATACTTTAGTTGTATTGCCTTGATGTTAATTTGCAGACTTTTGAGAATCTGGAAAAATTCTGACAAAAGAGAATAGAATGATGAATAGAAAGGGCATGCTGATCACCAAAATAACATTTTACAATAACTACGGTACTAGAAATCATCTTTATCATATCAACTACTAGACTTCACCCAATAAATCGTAGTTACCGCCCCTCAGTAATAAAATTTGTAGACCAAAGCTACTTTTGACTTTTGTGCATGAGCACAGCAGGTACTAAAATGAACATGCCTTTTATGGGAAAAGCACTCCCACTTTTGCACTACTATGATCTCATGACCTTTAAAGGGAGAAGCACCTCCACTGTCTCTTGCCTTTTAAAAGGAGAAGCACCATCATTTACTGGATGAAATTCATCAGAAGCATACAAGAAGTTGATATAGTAAAGATGAAGGGTCAAAGGTCACAGACAGAGAACATCAATTCCAATGGATATACCTGATTGAAAAATTCCTGTAAGAGACAATCTACCCAGGGGCCAGCAACGTCCAGGGGTCGGGCTTCATTCGAGATATCCGACACCTTCATTAGAATCATTTCCAACTGGAAGCAGCATCAATAAATAAAGAATATCAACTCCTGTGCATTTAGATTGTACGCCATCGAATACAGCCCAACAGAGCTCTCGAAAAAACAAAACTGAACAATTTGGCTGCGCATGTAATTGGAGGTCTTTGATTGATGGCATTTGTTACTGTACATTCAAACCAAATCACTGCATTTACGACCTTCCATCATACAAGAAAGGTATCTATTGCAGTCAAGGTATAAGATGGAATTCGTAATTGTGCAGATGATGGTAGGCCTACAAAAAGGTAATTTGGACCCAGACCACAAATAATCCAATACAAGAATTCTGTTGTATAGTTATGGTTCACTGATGATAATAATATACTCTTTCTGCCCAAGTTTGAGAATTTAAATTTTATGTTCATCCGTAGACTATAATACAAGCCAAGCAGTATACCTACCACTGAACGTTGTTCCTTATCCTGAGGATCGAATGTGGGTAACACAGCTTTAAATGAATGTAGAATCTCATTATGTTTTGCCATATCTGTTGCCAATATACATCTGAAATGAAATAGAAGGGAGTGTTACACCCTATGTTCCTGGACTGTGATGAGCTATCAAATCAAGTACTTTTATGCAGTTTATAGTGAAGGCAATTTTATCAAAACAGTGACAACTGTGAAAGGATGTTATTAAGCTAACTTTTACAAGCACAATCATCAAAATACCTCCATCTTTGTTGAGAAGTTATAATATATCAAACAATGCTATGCAGTGTGCAATGAGGGAAATTTTTCCAGGACAGTGACAACTATTTTTGTCTTAAGTGTCAAAGGATGTTAACCTTTTCACACCAACAACTTATACTATCAAATTTATCAAAAAAAACAGTACAAGCACAATCATCAATAATTAAGTTATTTATCAGAGAATATCCAGTTTCAATTGCAGGATTTGCAGGAATTTAAGAATCAGCCTACCTGATCATGCCTTCTCGAACTCGTTTAAACTGTTCCACGCTCAGATTACGGAATATATTACATTGTTTCCTCTCCAGAATCTCAAATGCCACTGAACAATGGTGGTTCTCTAGTGGTGATATGTCGTTATAGCGTAAGGCAAGATCTGTTCTGGCGTTGATCTGAAAATAGAAAATAGGCAATTTGATGCAGTGAATCATTTGATGGAGGGAAGGGGGCCTTTATCAGCAATTTCATGTTCAGAAAGTGGCATGTTAAGGAGAGTGAGGGGAGGGGCAAAAGAGTGGGTAGTGGTGAGCATTGTTCGATGATTCTTGACCCTCAGGACCTTAGGGACATACAATATGAAGTTCTGGTAGTAAAAATAACAGCATGCAATAATGTCTTTGAGAGGAAGAAAAGGAGGGAAACTGAGTTGAAATTGGGGGTCAAAGTTGGGTTTGAAAAAACTCCTTGACCTACCTGATATGCGTTGTTATATCCAGGGTGATCTAGATCATGACAGATAGCTGAGGTAATAAGTATTAAAACATCTAAATCATCTAGTATCGAGGGGAGATCTATTAACCAAGTTAAACCATACATCTGAAAGTTAAATCATAATCCAAAATTAGTGGATTCTCATTAAGGGATGCTGAGCGGACAATTTTTGCAATCTAGTATCTCTTTCTCAAAGGTGCTGGATTAGTTGCCATTGAAAAAGGACCTAGACGTAGGATTGGGCATCAAACCAAGGCTCTGTATTCTAAAGGCTTCACTCACAGCTTCGGATTGCACACTATCTACAGCCAAATAAATTGGCAAGTAGGGTGTAAAACTCCATTTAATTTCGAGAATAAAATTGCAAACAAAATGCCCTTACCATCTGCGCCACCATAAAACAATGTTTGAAATTGTGAAAAGGCACACCATTATAATTTTTATAAACTTCATATATCCACTGATGTAATACTGGGAGCTGAAACAATATAAAACATTACATCCTCTAGGTTGGCTCGAAGTTTTAATAAACTTCATTAGTCTAGATACAATGTTAAATGATAATAGCAGTAATTCAAATGTAACAAGATATGTCAGACTGGTTTTACAAAAGATTTATTTCGATTCTGGGAGAATCAAACCCTCCCTTCCCCGAAATTAAATATTTCTAACACATCTGTCTTTGCAATGCTTGCATTGGAGTTTTCTGGAATTCTCCACAGCTCTCTTGATATCGTCTACGTCTTAAAAAGGGATCCCTTGAGCCATGGAGCCCTTGGATGAGGAGGAAATCACTAGTGTTTGTGGCAAGAAATGGATGATATTTTATAAAATTCTAAACAGACCTACCTCTATATTAAATTTTGTTATAAAACCTAAATCTATATACATTTGACGTAATAATATCATCATCTCTGCATCGTCCCACTGCCAGTTATCAAACGTCGGTTTCCGTAAATACTCACGGACTTCATCTGTTACTTGAACATGACTGAAAATAGACAAATATAGGATTGATTAAGAGGTTTGGGAACCAGCTTTGAAATTCTGGGAGACTTGGCTCAGTAAGAAGCTTGCTCAGTAACCTGAAGGTCCAAGGTTCAATCCTAAGCTTCCATCAGATATGACTGATTAGACACAACTGGTAACTCTGAACTTTAAAATATCATTCGAAAACAGTCCTGATCTGAAATTGGTGAGATAAGCCAGGTAACTTAACAATATAGAGTTCTAATCATATTTGACTGGCAAAAAAAAAGCACATCAGCATCCCTGACTAGACAATTTGTGTAAAAAAATGTTGCTGATTTGTAATAGGAGTGTTAATAAAGCTAGTGAAGAAGAAGAATGGAATAATGTAAGAATGTCTGATGCCTGGGGTAGTTATTATTCTACCAGATCTTAGTCTTATTTATATCAAGTGATATATTCCCTTAGTTTTCCTCTTCCAACATTATTATTCTACCAGATCTTAGTCCTATTTATATCAAGGGATATCTTCCCTTAGTTTCTCTCTGAAACATAATTACTCTGCCAGATCTTAGTCTTATTTATATCAAGGGATACCTTCCTTTAGTTTCTCTCTGAAACATAATTATTCTGCCAGATCTTAGTCTTATTTATATCAAGGGATATCTTCCCTTAGTTTCTCTCTGAAACATAATTACTCTGCCAGATCTTAGTCCCATTTATATCAAGGGATATCTTCCCTTAGTTTCTCTCTGAAACATAATTACTCTGCCAGATCTTAGTCCTATTTATATCAAGGGATATCTTCCCTTAGTTTTCTCTTAAACCCTTCATAGAATTATCTGTGATCTCCACCAGATCTTGGTTATACATTACTCTATATATTCTCCTAGATTTCCCTTCAAACATAATTACTCTACCAGAACTTAATTCTTATTTCTATTAAGGGATATCCTCCCTTTGAATTTCTCCTTAACTCTTCATAGAAATATCCATTACTCTATATATTCTCTTCAAACATAATTATTCTACCAGATCTTACACATAAAGGGATATATTCCCTCAGATTTTTCTCCACATAAAACTTAAAGGATTCAAAGAAAATTTTAAGGGATTAAAACCCTTTACATTTTCTCTAAACCACTTCACAGAGCTTTCTCTGTGATCTATCAAAATTAAAGGTATGTGTTCCTCTAAACTAAATTGATGACCAGACTTACTAGTCAAAGTACAGCCTTTAATCTTTTTCTCCAGTATATTTATTAAGTATACTTAAAGGTCTCATTCCCTTTAATTTCATAGACTTTTGACATTACAAAGGCATGCTTTCCTTAAAACTCACTTTCCACGACAGATTTATCACAAGATTCAGACAGTACATCCCTTTAAGTTACCAATTTTGTTTATTCAAAGCTGTCTGATTAATCTTTTGCACACAAATATTTCAGTATCAAAATGGATTTAATCAACAAACTTGACGTCTGCATCCCTTCAGATTTGCCATGTTCCATTTGGACCATAATATTGTTTGATGATACCATATTAGATTAAACAAGTCTGTACTAACACGAAGGAAGAATTCTGTAACCACTTAGCTTCCATCAAATCAAATTTACCGACTGAATTTCCAACTAGGACCAATTTCATTACAATTTTCACTCTATTTAACTCGGGCAATGTGGCGTTAAATACATAGAAGTATTGGAAAGAGTTAAGTTTGAGAGAATCAGTTGATGATAAACAGTGTCAGCACCAGTAGGGGTACAGAAGGGTCATTTGTCCCCTAGAAAATGGTTTGGACCCCCAATTGTACCCCTACTGCATTTTCAACAAATTCAAATATATGAATTTACTATGTTTTCCCCTCTCAAATTATAATATCAGAATGCACCAAATTAATTTTAGTTTTCAAAAAATTTTTGTCAAGAACCCTTTCAGAGGTCAATATGCTCATTGCACACTGCATGGTGTTGCCCATCTTTTCAACTGATATACCAATAAAATACAAAGATATAATGAAATATACCACAAATTTTAACTACACCTAATATGATTCAAAACCTAGATGAAAATAATTCAGTCTTAATTCAAAATATTAGAATCATTTCAAAGACTTTCAGGAGGAACTTATTCCCTTGGCTGTTCATTCCATTCAGCAATACAACTCAATGTATTGTATAGAATCTAGTGGTATTAAAGAGATTGTAAAGAGGTTTTCTAAACTTTTTTATTGGGGACACTGATAGCATCAATTTGCCCCATTCCAATTTTTAATCAGACGTCTGTGGGTAATGCAATTCCACTAATACTAAGTATTTCATGACACAAAGGCCCTTAGATATTATTAACAACTTTTGTGATAGTGTCAAAGCATTTCTGTAATTACAGGAAACACAGACAGATAATTTGAAAGATGAAATTTATACAGGCCTAAATGGCACTGAAAGACCTCCTTATAATCACATTAAGATATGAAAAAATCTTAAGAAAAAGTATATCAAGAAATCTAAATATATCCAGAAATTGGGCCAATTTTCTTGGGAAACGCAAAGATGTTTTTACGAACTTGTACATCTGGCTGAAGCTGAAGGTTATATATAAGCAGACGTAGAAAAATAGCCCGCCTGATAAACATAGTTCATAATTTATACCCTTGTTAGCTTCTACTTATACAGATTCAATGCTTTCTTTTATATGGCCACTTCAAATCAAATGTAAACACATTAGGCCTACCTACAGATTTTAAAGTTTAAAAAATGAAAGTAGAGTTAGTGAGATAACTCAGTCAGTAGTGAGTTGGATTGTCACTTTATTTATAAGACAGTATGGACAGTGGGCTTCTTATTGTTAAATTCTCGAAGGGGAGGGCCCTCCTGGACTCCCTTTCAGGAAATGGTATGGATTAAGTAGGCCTATATTGATTCTTGCATCTAACGATTCATCACAGAGAAATCAAGCTAACACATCAGTAAATCTCTCATACTAGACCAACCTTTTTCAGGCCTCACCCCCCTAGAGCAATCACCTGGACCTTTCACACCCCAAAAATTTGTTTCATCCACATTTTCAGCATGTGTTGATGTGAGGTTCTCTTCCCATTCAAAATAAATTCTTCTCCTACACCAGTTGGCCACACCCCTGACACATAGTCCCACACCCCTAGAGGGTTGGGAACCAGGGGTATACAGCCTTCATATTTTTGGCATTGACAGTCCTCATTGGTCCCCCTCCCAAAACAATTTCTGGATGCATCACTGACAGTGGAATAGCTAAGTTTGTAGAGAGTAGCATTGTCATTTGATAGACAATTCCAATTCTGTGCTGTGGGTTTGAATCCCCTTGGGTAATAATAAAAATCCAGATGCCCCACCCAGTGCTTTCATTTAGATTTTTCAAAAAGGAAATGATAGCAAGCTCCCTTTAACCCATTATCAATGTAGAATACACTAACACAGGTTTACTGTATGTCTTTATCTATCTACTTGAAATCAACCGTAAACATATTACAGAGAGATTTGAAAAAGAAAATGAAAGTAGAGTAATAAACATGGAGTTGATAAGTTAATTATTCACAGTCACAAGTAGAAAACACTGATAGACATTGCAGAGGTGTATAAATACCCACACCATTATGATGGACAAGTACCCTACTCTTAGTAACCGCCCCGCCAGGATGAATTGGTGCTGGGGCTCAGATTTTGTACACAGAACATTTGAAGAATTAAAGACCCAGAGAACTCATTTCTGTCAATTTTGAGGTGCCAAAAACTTTTCAAAATCTAAATCTTGATTTTGTACAAAGACACTGTAAATGAATCAATCTGTGCTGAACTAAAGAAGGTTTTGCTGGGGCTTAATTCTCACTAGCTTGGGCCCAGCCCCACAGACCTTACCCTAACTGTGTAGGATAGTGTGATATTAAAACCAGCTCAACTCTCAGAAGCACAGGCACAGGTATCAGAATTTTGATGGAACAGTGTGAAACATGTTTCAGGTTCTCTGTTTTAATATATTTCAAGCTTAATGACTGTACTTTGAAAATCATAGAATGCAATCTTCTCAAAAAGATAACTACAGGGAACAATATTTAGATGACTAAATACCTTTGGATGAAAATTAATAAATCTATACTAAAGAGGAGGGGAATCATTAACAGAGTCTAGACTTTCTACTTCTTATACCTTATCATTTTCAATTAGTGACAACGCTCAATGATCAAGGCTATATATAAATAGTTATTGACAAGCTAAATTACTGGACGTTCTTTCTACATTGACGGGCTAAATTACTGGAAGTTCTATCTACATTGACAGACTAAATTACTGGACATTTGAAAGGCTAAATTATTGGACGTTTCTGTCTACAATGACAATAGCAGAGGAAATTACTGATGAGGGTTTAATATCTGAAACATGCTTGGGAAACACTAGTCTGGTGACATTGAATAAATCATCTTTCCTCATTATTCCAGTCGACCCAATATGACCTCCAAATGGTAAACCAAGGAGATGTTTAGTCAAGGATAAGCTGGTAGACCAATCCACGCTAACCTAAGTTGTTATCTTTGTAAAATCATTACCAAGAGGTTTGACCGAGGACAAGGTGGTAGACAGGATCCTCTTGAACCGAAGTTGTTATCCTGGTTTGACCAAGGATCAGCTGGTAGACAGGATCCTTGTGAACATAAGTTGTTATCCTGGTTTGACCAAGGATCAGCTGGTGGAAAGGATCCTCGAGAACCTAAGTTGTTATCTTTGTAAAATCAATGCCAAGAGGGTTGACCAAGGACATGCTGGTGGAAAGGATCCTCGAGAACCTAAGTAGTTATCATTGTAAAATCATTACCAAGAGGTTTGACCAAGTACCAGCTGGTTGAAAGAACCCTCAAGAGCCTAAGTTGTTATCCTTGTAAAATCAGTGCCAAAAAGTTTGACCAAGGACCAGCTGGTAGAAAGGAT